TCGCTGAGCTCCTACTCTGTGCCCTGCCATTTACTTACTAGGCGTTTATATCTTATTAACGCCTCAGACAAGCCCGTGAGTTACGTACTACTTTCTATGACAGTTTAATGTATTTATTGTATGTCAGGTATGCATTGTACGACGAGTAAAAATCTGTTAGACATCTCCATCACTATAGAAAGTCCTGCTTGACAGCACTGGGATAAATGCTTGAGCAGATGTTCTGGGCAGTCCATTCAGTAATCACTAGCCACATTAGTTATTGAGCTCCTGTAATGTGGCAATAGCAAATGAAGAACTAAACTTAAATTTTACTTATTCAAATGTTATTTAAAATTTTTAAAAATATATATTTTCATTGATTTTAGAGGGGAAGAGAGAGGGAGAGAGAGAAAAACATCAATGATGAGAGAGAATCATTGATCAGCTGCCTCCTCTAGTTGGCTACCATATTGGACAGTACAGATCTAAGACAAAGTTTAATGGCTAGCAAGTACCAGAAGTAGGGATTCAATCCTGAGATTATCTGACTCCAAAGTCATGCTTTAAAAAATTATTACTAATTGGGACACATAAAGGATGCTGTCATGTTTGTACATTAGAGCTTGTCAGTTACTGCTTATAGCTATTTTCTTGTCTATGACCTAGAAGACCCCAAAGTGCCGGCCCTCTGAGCAATCTGCCACTGGGAATCCTACAGCAGTGCCGCCTCCTATGGGCACTCTGGTGTTACGAGTCCCTGGTCATGTTTAGCAAGCTCAATGTGGATGTAGGAAGCCAAAGTAACAGAGAAATTATTGGTGCCAGATATTTCCTGTTTGTCCCTGGAGATCTGCTCTTCACTGTTCCCCACGCTGCTGTGGTCTCAGGAACCTGACAATCTATGGCCCCCTTAGCAGGGCTTCCTTGTCCCCAGCTTCTGGTTGGTTCCAGACAATGGAAGTCCCTGGTTGGAACTTGAAAGATAAGAGAGTGAGGTCAGGTCTTCATTCCTCCCAGCTCTCTCTGCCAGGCTATCATTTAGCAGTGGTTACATAATTCTGTTTGAGCCCATAGTCCTGGTGAGTGGCTCTCTTCTCAGCTGCAGGTCTCACCAGGCTCCAATAACTGTGTCTTCCCTTTTCCCTGCAGCCAGGACTGATAACAGCTCCCTACTTGTGCCAGTCCTGGCTGCTTCATTGACTCTTATTGGCTTCTCTTAAACCTGCCCTCACTTTCTTTCTCCCATCCATTTTGAATGTCTCATTTGTTTCTTTCTGGGGACTCTGATGGAAGCACTATTTCATGAATAAGTATTATCTTATGAATAATAAATATTATTTCAGAAAGTGGTTATCACATGTTCTTATCCACAAAAATACAGCTTTACCAGAAAAGCAATGTCGGATGGCCTGAATTTTATTTTGATACCAAAAGGATCCAAATATATATATATGAACAAGAACATTCATTGCACTATTTTTTTCTTTATTAAAAAGAACAAAATCACATATCCATAAGGAGAGGAATGATTACATTTTAATGTTTGTTCCGTAATAAAAACAATGTAGTCATTAAAAGGGATGAGGAATATCTTTAAATATCAAAATAGAAAGATGTCTGTGATATATTTTAGTGGGGGAAAGGTTGTAAAACTGTACATATAGTAGATTATAATATTTCTAAAAATAAATGTGAATTCATTTATTCAACAATATATATTGAGTACCTACTATGTGTCAGGGATTGTTATAGGCCAGTGATAGTGAACCTATGAAATGCGTGTCAGAGGTGACACGCAAACTCATTTTTTTTGGTTGATTTTTCTATGTTAAATGGCATTTAAATATATAAAATAAATATCAAAAATATAAGTATTTGTTTTACTATGGTTGCAAATATCAAAAAATTTCCATATGTGACACAGCAGGAGAATTAAGTTAGGGTTTTTCAAAATGCTGACATGCTGAGCTCAAAAGGTTCGCCATCACTTTTCTAGGCTCTAGGGATTTAGCAGGAATAAAAACGACACAAATGCCTGCCCCCATGGAGCTTGCATTTCACTGGAGGGAGGCAGGAAATAAATAAAATTACTCAAATCTATAGTACGTTAATAGGTGAAATATGCAGAAAGAAGGGTAGAAGATGTTGGACATGAGGCACAGTGTTGGATACAGAGAAAGCCTCACTGAGAAAGTGATATTTTAGTGAAGTCCTGAAGGAGGTGAGGGGGGCAAGCTATGAGTATAACTAGGAAAATAAAATTTCAGGCAGAGCCAGTAGGATGTGCAAAGGCCCTGAGACTGAAATGTGCCTGATGTGTGGAAGAACAGGGAAAGAGCAGAGTGGCAGGAACCTATATAGTGAGTGAGGAGGAGAGTCCTAGGAGAAGAGCTTGTAGAGTTATTTAACTACACATGCTTGTATGTGGATTTTAAATAGTCTAGAAAAATACCAATCACACTCCTAACAGTGATACTCGTGAGAAATGGGAAACATTCCTTCTTTTTGAAGAGACCGTCAGTTTTAATTTTATGCACTGATGTATTGTTTGAATTAGGTGGTTTGGCTTTTAACATTTTAAACTGGTTTGTTTGTGTTTCAGAGAAAGATCAGAAAACAAAAGGCCTCATAGAAATTTCCAAAAATAACTCTCCAAAATCACCCATATTTTCACAGAAAGTGACAAGAAAATTTTGATCAAAATTGCATATTGATGTGACCTGATTATTCTGAGTGTTAAAACTAATCATGAGGACCTTGGTGCAATGAGTTCCACGCTGATTATTCGTGTCATGTCTTGCCAGATTCTAGAGCCTCTGACAGTGGATCTGCCTTTACTTCTATTAAATTTAGGGAATTTGTATATGAGAATATTCTGAGATGTCACCATTGTGATTCATTAAGCAAACTATCAGCCTTAATAGAAGCTAAGGATGGCCTGAAGCAAATTGTTAGAAGAAATTGGCTAATATAACTTGTTAGGTTCTTCAATCAGAGTGTAATTGCATATTCAACAAAAATCCCGGGCTGCCACTAAGACAACAGCTCAAAGACGACTTCAGCTGACATGTGTGAGGTTTCTTTCTGTCTATCACACTGCTTATTTTTATTAGAATAGTTATCCTTTTCAAAAACAATGGGACCTCTTTCTTTCCCCCTCTGCCACATGAGTTGTACAGTTGGAGCTTATATTTCATTGGAGGGAGGCAGGAAATAAATGAAATAATTTAAATCCATGCAGAAAGGGGGATAGAGCGTGTTGGATGGGGCACAATGTTGAACAGGATTGTCCGAGAAAGCCTCTGCCACATGAAGTTTTGTATTTCTCTTCTCTCTTCTAATTCCCTTTCTCTCACCTTTGATTTCTCATTTGGTGCCCTGTTTTCCTTTTCCCATGTACACTAGTTCCCCCTTAACAGCCAGGGATGCATTCCAATACACCATGGATTCATGAAACCATGGAAAGTACTGAATCCTATACAGCTAACCTTTCAACAACACAGATTTGAACTGTGTAGATCCACTTACACACAGATTTTTTTTCAATAAATAGAAATGCTGTTTTAGATCCATGGTTGGTTGAATTCATGGATGTGAAGGGTTGACTACAAAGTCAAAACTTACATGCAGATTTTTTATTTCTTGGTGTTAGTGCCCCTACACCTTCCCCATTGTTTAAGGATCAACTGTATATATTATGTCTTCTCAAATATATATGCATGTGTGTGTGTATATATATATATATATATATATATATATATATATATAAATGATTAAGTTTAATTTATAAATTCAGCACAGTAAGAGATTAACAATACCTAATAATAAAATAAAATAATTATAGGAATATACTGTAATAAAATTATGTGACTAGAAACACCAATTAGAAAGGATATATGTACCCCTATGTTCATAGCAGCACAATTCACCATAGCTAAGATTTGGAAACAGTCTAAGTGCCCATCAGTAGATGAGTGGATTAAAAAACTGTGGTACATCTACACAATGGAATACTACGCTGCGGTAAAAAAGAAGGAGTTCTTACCATTTGCAACAGCATGGATGGAACTGGAGAGCATTATGCTGAGTGAAATAAGCCAGTCAATGAAGGAAAAATACCACATGATCTCACTCATTTACGTAATATAATGAACAACATAAACTGATGAACGAAAACAGATCCAGAGACAGAGAAGCATCAATGAGACCGTCAAACCTCAGAGGGAAGGTAGGGGAGGGTGGGGTTAAGGGGGAGAGATCAACCAAAGAACTTATATGCAAGCATATAGGCCTAACCAATGGATACAGACAACAGGGCAGTGAGGACATGAGTGGGGGAGGATAGGGGGTAACGTGGGGAAAAGGACACATATGTAATAACTTAATCAATAAAAAAATAAATTAAATAAAATTATGTGAATGTGCTCTCTCAAAATATTTTATTGTACTGTGCTTTTCACTTAAAGGAAACACTTTATGGCTTCTCCTTGGCATAGTCAACTACCAGGATCACTACTCTTGTGCTTTAGGGCCATTCTTAAGTAAACTCAGGGTTACTTGAACACAAGCACTGTGATACCCGGACTGTGGACCTGATAACAGAGATGGCTACTAAGTCATTAACGGGTAGGGAGTGTACGCAGCATGGAGATGCTGGATGAAGGGATGAATCCCATCGTGGGGGGGATGGAGTGGGATGACAGGAGATTTCATCACACTAGTCAGAACTCTGCACAATTTGAAACTTATGAATTGTTTATTCTGGAATTTTCCATTTAGTGTTTTTGAACCACAATTGGCCACGGGTAACTGAAACCATGGAAAGCAAAACTGCAGATAAGGGAGTGACTACTGAATCTCCTTTTCTAATTGATATCAAGAGTTCATAGCATGAAATTGAAATATATTTTAATAGACTTAACTTTTTTACCTTCTTTCTTTAAAAAGAAAAATATTGGGAAAACACAGTAAACATATAAATAAATTAAAATGCTTTTCACTTTATTTTTTTCTTAAAGAAAAAAGAAAACAATACAAAGGGCAAGGTGTGCACCATACCGTCCTGGTGACCAAATGAATTAAAGGAGAATTAAAGGAGAACTTGGAGAGGAAGAATGATATGTCTGTCTGTAGACATCGACAACCAATCACAGCCCAGCCCCCTGCATTCTGGTTGCCACTTCAGGGTCCTTCTCAACACAGGCCGCCACTCCATTGGCATTCAGGGTGGCACTGTTATTTACCATCCTGCCTTGAAAGCATCTCTGCTGGAGTCATCTGCCATTGAAGCTGGGCTGGACCACTTCCCCAGGATGACAAGGTAAAAACAGAACTAATAGGTCTCCTTAGGCTTAAGAAAGGCCCTCAGTGCTATAACTTGGATGAACTAGTCAGGGCTTTTCCCTAAGGCACCAAAATTCCAGGGGCAAAGTTGTAATAATTTTTGAAGGTTCTATAACTTTCCCACAGGCATCACTTTCTCTCCAACTACAGGGGACAGATTCCTCTGGCCAGACGGAGACCCTTCTGTAGCTGATGCACTTTATGGAAGTGTCCCCGGAACAGAGGTCAAGAGCAGTTGCCCATGGCCCAGGCCCCTGTCTCCTCTTCTGCTTCTCTCGCCCTCTCCACTGTCTGCCTTGTCACACTCCTACTAACTCAAGACTGCATTTTGTGCGTGTTGCCCCAGATCCCAATTATTGCTCAGTGGAACTTTAGAGTTACTTAATCCTTTTACACTATTCACTACCTTGTGCCTTCTTTTCAGGGTGAACCGGGGAAGTGTTAGAGCTAAAGCACAATTTAAAAATATGAGTCGGAAGCCTTCAAAATACCGTCTCCTTCAAAATACACTAACTGTTTTGTTCATTTTAATGGGAATTTCCTTTCCATTGGTGATTATAGGAAGTGGGGAAGAGTGCTGAGTGTTTAAAGCATTATGGTGCAAGATTAATGCATTCATTTTATCTTTTGAGTTTTTGTAGTTCTTACCACGGTGATCTTGGAAGGAGGACAGCACTGGCATTGAACTAGAGTTGCCCCATGTTAATAAAAGGCTATTTATTTCAACTAGATTTGTCTTGCGGTTTATTAATGGAGTGGGGATGTTTTGTTTATTCTTATTGCTACCAAATATAACAATATTGCAGCACGTACTGAACGGGTACTTGTGAGGAACAAATGGACCCAAATGAAAAAGCACCTTTTGGGCCCTGCAGTTCTGTACAAACCCACAGTGTTCCTGAGGTATCGTTGGAGAGGCCAGAGTCTTCATTGGTTGGATTTTTAAACCGGTCCCTTTGTAATCATGGAGACACAACTTACATCTGAGTACAGAATAGAATGACCACATCAGAACCGCATTGCTGACCATTTTTTGAGCCCCATGTCCCCTTGGGAACTTAAATTAGCATCTTGTTCCATTGACTTCCTTCATGTGGTAGAGGAGGCCTAAAAACTTTACTTCTTCTCAGTAGAAACAGCACAAGATCAAAACCATCAGGATAAAGGGCAGAGCACTAAGGAATCCCAGAAGATCAGTAAATGTAGAGCAGCGGTTTCCATGTGTACCTCCTGCCGGTGGCAGCAGCAGGGCCCAGGGCCACAGCCTGGCCTCCAGGGGCCAGGGGCACTTCTGCATTCATACACTTCTTCCTTCATTAAAAAAAGAAGTGAAAGAAACTAGACTCAATGTTTTTTAAGTCTACATTGATATAGAGATGACTATAATCCAGGTTGGATTCATTATCATATAGTCACTATTATTATGTTAATTAACTTCTGATTTATCTAAGAGAGATTAAAAGCACACCATTTTCCTGGGCCATGAGAAGTGAAATGCACTACAGCACTATGCCTGCTGTGCCTAATGAAGGAGTTGGTCCTGGCCTCCCCTGGCAGCTTGGCAATGCAAATTCCTGGGCCCTGCCCTAGACTTAACCAGAGACTCAGCAAGGTGTGTGGTGACGAGTCCTCCAGGCGATGCTGAATCACATTCAAGTCTGAGAGCAACAGGCTTAGCCAACCCAAAGCTACATAGGCGACCCTTACTCTGCAGAAGCTAGAAATTCTCCTCATCACCTCGATTTCACTGACAGGGTAGGCACATGACCTCCACTGTTTGGGGTCTACTTTTAGAGGTCAGAATGGGCAGGCATCCTTCCGACTAGCTGTCAAATTTGGCTTTCTCATATAGAAGATGTTTAACGCCTTGAGAAGTAACATGACACGATGGACCCAAGCACACAGCCTTTAAATAGTTAAATGTTTGTGAATTATTTTGAGAGATAAAAAGTTATATGCATTCTAGTTACAGTCTACATACATCTAGTATATAAAGAGATATATGTGTTTTAAAAATCACTGCACTTCCCTAACCAGTTTGGCTCAGTGGATAGAGCATCGGCCTGTGGACTCAAGGGTCCCAGGTTTGATTCTGGTCAAGGGCATGTACCTTGGTTGCGGGCACATACCCAGTAGGGAGTGTGCAGGTGGCAGCTGATCCATGTTTCTCTCTTATCGATGTTTCTAACTCTCTATCCTTCTCCCTTCCTCTCTGTAAAAAATCAATAAAATATATTTTTAAAAAAGAAAAGTGGATTTACTTTTTAAAAAAATCACTGCACTAAGACACACAATAAAAACCACAGGCCTTAGGAGGTTGGCACATACCATTGTTAGTGATACATTAAAGAAAAAAGAGATAGGAACCTAGTCAAAACAGTAATACAGTTTCCCCCCATCTTAAATGGCTAATAAATACACACATACTACAAAGATTATGGCGTTTTATCTTGAAAGAGACTTGAAGTTCACTTGCAGAGGTGAGCACCAGGCCTATGGCTTGTGAGTTACTGTGAAATGGCAGAGGTGTGTCTGAAACGTGACAGAAAGCTGTAACACTAGGTGTGGGTGAGTGTAGCTTCGGCCGTGTGTGGTGCAGTCATGTAGCCGGTAGATGTTTGAGGTGCGTGCATGTGTGCGTTTTGTGTATTCATCATCAGCTTGGTTCATCGGGGTGCAGTTTTCTGCAGTCACGCAGTATTGCTCTCACATGAAATCATGCGTAAGGAAATGCAAAATTTTCATTACACTCAATTTGTTCCCTAATGGAACAAATTCATATTCTCAAATAAGCATTATAGCAGAGCTGACTCTGTGTGTGTATAATGTTATAGTTCCACATATGAATTACATATATGTTTATGCCTACAGCTGTACGCTTATCCTATGGGCCCAACGTCATTGTTTGATACACAACATTAAGCAAAATGGACAAACAAGAGACTGTGTTTGTGTCTATTTATGTTCATGTATGATAAATCTGATTAGCAGTAATAGTTCACTACTCTAATATGATCCTGGGAAATTAGTTTGTATGCCAATACATAACATTTCAGTTGCGAATTTGAGCAATATCCATATTTATTAATTCTAAGGAGTAACTGGCAATTAGATTAGATTTTTTATTCATCTTCCACACTAGAAAAAATATTATTTATGATTTTAGATTGTGACATAAGCTTTGTGGATAACAAACATAAATGCTTTTTGGTTCTCATGTTGTGATACCAGTCATGGCAGTTTTAATCTTGCCCCAACAATTATTTTAAGGAATCCAATACAGACAGTCCTATCTTTTCAGGGTTCTAACACACACAAATGTCAGTGATCATGGCTTAAACACCAGTCACTTTATTGGTCATCATGCGTCTGCTATTCAGTTCATGTCTAGACAGCCAAGCATATCGTCGTGTTGCCCCCTTGGCCCTCAGTGATACACCCATGTAGACATTTTACAAAACTAAGTAATTGAAAGGGACTTCACCAAGAAAGGTGAACATGAAGCAAAGAAACAAAAAACACTGGAAGAGAATTTTGACCTTCATGTAAATGGAGTTATAACAGAATTGGCTGCCTGTGGGAAGGTTGACACAGCTGCGGGTGAAGAGACTATGAAAATGCAGAGAGAAGAACTTAGTGAAAGCAGATTATCTACCAAAAGGAGGACAGTAGTTGTGACCGAAAGGATGAGGATGTCCCAGGGGAAGAACCAGCAAAGTCTTCACAGTAAAGAAACTTTCATGATGTTAAAAGTGCAAAATGTTGGAAGCTCTGTGATGAGGCTCGCTCCGTATCATAAGGCACACGACAGGCACTGTCCAGACTCCTCTTGAGTTGTTGGGAAAAAATATGAAACACTTCACTTCTCAGTGTCTCTAATGTTTTCGATGACAGCATACTGATTGAGCATTAGTTTTACTGCTTTTTAAATTTTCTTATACATGGATAACCAACAGTAAGGTTGATGTTACATTAACCGTAAAATTAATGTTAATGTTTTGACAACAGATTTTAAAGGTCAAAGAACAATTGTAATTTCTCCATTGACTAAAATAACTTTGCACATTTCAGCCTGCAAGGCTATTTTTAACATCCTGTACTATGCAAATTGAGGAGTGCCTATATAACCCATGGAAAATGTGAATTTACAGTTATTTCTGGACTATCAACAGTAAGAAAAAATGTGCTAAGATGTTCTTTTTTAGAAAACTAGGATTATTTTGTGTTGCCTATTGCCAAAAATCCATGCAAAATCACTGGTCTCATTTTTGTATAATTATTTGTTTAAACATTATCTTTGATAACTGTTATCCATGAATCCTGACCCCATTTGAACTCCACTAAAGCAATCAATTATTTTGGTGGAACAGAGAAGGGAAGAGCAGGAAGTATGAGGAAAAACTGTCCAGTTTTTGAAAAGAATTCTGTCCTGTTGGCTGTGTGAAGTCTTAAAGCCAAGCCAATCAATGCTCACTGAATATTTTAGTTAAAAATATTTAGTTCAGAAGATGATTTGACTTGGGGTGGTGGTCACACAATGCAATATACAGATCATGTAGCATAGAAATATATATAACCTTATTAATCAATGCCACCCTAATAAATTTAATTGGAAAAAAATATTTGATTCAAATACATATATTGATAATGTGTGGTATAATTTGTAACAGTTCTTACCACCTTTGGAGAATAAAGTCTGATGTAAATAAGACTTTACATTGTTAGCAGTTCCCTAGCAATAGGATACTATGTCATAATTACAAAAGGGAAAAAATTAAAAGCCTTGTGATAACAATTCTTTATGGATGTTTTGTAAATCATTGCTAATATACTTTGGGCTGAGCTTGTTTTCAAGAAATGTGCTACCAATTGGTGCTTTTAATGTGTTTTTTATTGATTTTAGAGAGAGAAAGGAGAAGGGATAGAGAGAAATATCAATTGGCTGCCTCCTGCCTGCCACCCACTTGGGATTGAGCCCGCATTCAGAGCATGTGCCCTGACTAAGAATTGAACGGGAGACCTCAGGGCTCATGGGTCAATGCTCAACCACTGAGCCACGCTGGCCAGGCCCAATTGGGGCTTTCACCATTATCTTTATATTAGTGACCTTCTCTGCCTATACGCATAATTCAGATCTAGGAATTCCCTTTCATCATTGTGTGAGTAGAATTTTCAGATAGGTTGTTAATTAGATTTACACACAACTGCCATCCTCTGTATTTCACAGTGAAGGCTAGGAGCTGGCTTTTAATTGGAAGTCAAGTTCAATTGGAAAATAATAAACCTTTGGAATAGGCTGTATTCTTCCCACCAAACATTTACTGCTAGTATGTGATTCAACACATTTTACTACATTGAAATTGTAATAATTTCTCTTTTTTAATGTTGTTGACTACAAGCAAATGTGTTCTCTATGATTGTGCCTACATTTACACAACACATACATAATCTGGAGAAAAGTGAAATACTTCATTAATAAATCAGTTATTTACTCTGTACAAACCTCAAATATCAGTTTGAATTTCTCCCCCTTTTCTCTCTTACAAAATGACAGCATTTTTACTGAAATGATTGCATTACCACATGTTTTGACATTGTGTAGACATCACTCCAGCCAACATTAGGCAAAATGTTATAAGAAACCTAAAACTCCAATAAATTATTCAAAGATTTCTAAACTAACAGATTTTATAGTGTGAATGATTGAT